TTTTTTCTTTTTGCTTATGTGGTGCTGAGGAATCGAACCCAGGGCCTCAGGCATGCAAGGCAAGCGCTCTACCACTGAGCCACCTTCCCAGCCCCCTAAGCTATATTCTTAACCCAGGTCATTTGATTCTTACTGACAGTAAGTAAATCTAAGTGAGGATAATGAAGCCTATCTAACACAAAATATATGGAAAGATTATACACATGATAGTCCTTCAATCACATTAAAAAGAAGGCTATTCTGTAACTGTTTTGTTTGAAAATACTCTGTAAATTTGAAGCACTAATTTTTCCCCCATTTTTCTAGAGTTCTAAATGTCGCACAGTGCTTTCTTCGCCTCAGAAGATTGAAGGCTTCAAGCGTCTTGATTGCCAGAGTGCTATGTTCAATGATTATAATTTCGTTTTTACCAGTTTTGCTAAGAAGCAGCAACAACAGCAGAGTTGATTAAGAAAAATGAAGAAAAAACGCAAAAAAAGACAACACATAGATGGTGGTGGCTGCTTTCTAGATGTTGATACTGGGGGTCATGCGTTCCATACCCACCACCTTGTAGTTGCAGAAAGCCCTAGATGTAATGATAGTGTAATCATTTTGAAGTGTATGCATTATTATATCAAGGAGTTAGATATCTTGCATGAATGCTCTCTTCTGTGTTTAGGTATTCTATGCCACTCTTGCTGTGAAATTGAAGTGCATGTAGAACATAACTTTTACTATAAGAAACTTTACAACACTTGTGAAAACAATTCAATTTGGTTTATGCACAGTGTAATATTTCTTCAGGTATCATCCAAAATTCCCCACAGACAAGGCTTTCGTCCTCATTAGGTGTTGGCCTCAGCCTAACCATCTGGGACTGTTCTTTAAATTGCTGCCAGAATTTTACATCCAGTTACCTCCACTTTCTAGAACGTATTCTCTACTAATGTTACTGAAACCAGTTTCTACTTCATACAGATGTTTTTTGCAACAGCAGTTAAAATTTTTCTTCCACAAGTTGGATCCTCGTAGAATGATTCTAGTTAACTCTTTTTGTGTGTATTACTATTTTAATCATTGTTCTTGCATTTGTAGTCTTGTAATTGGTGTCTTCCCTCACCATGGTGTCTTCTCCCTCTGCCCCTCAAATAAAGCAATACACTGTTACACTGTGGGTTTAATATACGAATCTCATACCCTAGGTGAGGAAGCAGGGAGATGATCCCTGAGTTTAATTTTCTTTCAAGGGTGTCAGAATTTTGCCTCCTTTATTGGCATGGTCTCTTTTAAAAAGTAGCAAAGTTGAATGTATCCAAAATCTTTTGAATCATTTCCAGCAAGAACCCATAGAGAACTACAGATTTTCAGAGTACGCTGTAAATAATCCAACTATGTTCTACTCTTGAGTAAATTGGATTAGCTTCTAATGGAATATACTAACTTGTCCTAAGTAGTGGTATAAAAGAACTTATCACTAAGTATGTAAGCGGGTACATAGCATAAAGGTTATCTGTTCAGTTTGGATCATTTTACCTTATACTTTGAGCAGCTATTGCCACTAAGTTTCATTAATAATCTGTACTATCCACTTGTTCAGAGCAGAATCAGTGGCTTTTCCATCTTGTGGCTTAAAGTTCTGTGGTTTTGTGATGCACATGAGAGGTTGATTCTTCCTGTTCCTGTATGGTCTTTTTACCGTGGCAGTCACAGGACGAATAATGTCCAGAATGAGAACTGTCAAGTTAACTCAAACAACTGCGTGGCAGAATTTTTGAATGGATTAAAAACATAACCAAATTTCACAAATACTCAACCGAAAATGACCAGAAATGTAGGCTTTCAAGAGTTGGCATCTTTTAGCTATATTTGCAAAAACTATGGTAATCAAGCAACTGAGAGAAGAGCAAAATTTAACTAAATTTCATATTTATTGTCTTCACAATATTTTCTTGATAATTTCTGGGTTGATGCAGTGATGTTTTGTTCCTTCTGTATTTATAAATGAAACACCTTTTGTTAGTGTTTCTAAACAATACCTACTTGGTTTGAGATCAAGTGGTTGGAACACTGTTTTGACTTTTATTTTAAGCATGCTGTTGATTGAACATTTAATTGAAGCTTTCAATTAGCTTTATCAGTTTGATTCTTACTGAGCACAGCACCTAATGTTTAGACTTGCTCTGTTGGGAGGATTTTGTTCTTGAACAGTATCCCAGTAGATTTTGATGACATTTTTGGCTTGAGGTCAGGTTTTTCTTTTCCTAACATAATTAAGAGTTCTAATGTTGAAAACTTGCACAAGTTTATGTGGAACAAAGCCTAGTAAATGAGAACTGTAGATTGAATAGAAATCTATCCTAGCATGGTAGAGGAGGGAAAATTTTGGTGCCATAATTTCTCTCTTCATTGGTGTTGGACTTTAATCAGTTGAAATGTATTTCTGTACCACAATGTAAGCTTCAATAAAAGTTTGCTTAATTAATTGTCTAGACACATTGAGAAAGTTTTGTCTTGTATGTCTGACCAAATACCATAGAGAAATCAAAAAAGTTTGGAGGAAGATTCTAGCCTCTAAACCTGGCTCTTTATAAAGGGAGGAGAATTGCATTTATGATGGTTTCTATTAAACTAGAACAAACTTGTAAGTATCTTTCACCATGCCTGTACCATACATACCATGATTTGTGGAATGTGAGGTGCTAGAAATTGAAGCCTAGGACCTTGTGTATCTTCCATTTTGCTATACCCCAGGCTTGGTTATTTTCTTGAATTGGCAAATATTCATTCCTCCAAGTAAGCTAAAATATATATTTGGCAAAATTTCATTTTAAAAAAGTCTGACAGACTTTCAAGAGTATACCCATGTACCCAGCTACCTGGGGTTGAGGCAAGAAGATTTCTTGAGCCTAGACATTCTAGTCCAGCCTGAGCACTTTTTCTCCTGTCCTCCCAACACCAGTATTTTGTTGCTATTTGTCTTTTGAAATAGTTTCACTGCAGTACATTCTGGGCTTTTGTTTGTTTGTTTGTTTGTTTTTTGGGTCCGGTCATGGGGCCTGAACTCTGGTTCTGGGTGCTGTCCCTCAGCTCTTCAGCTCAAGGCTAGCGCTCTACCACTTGAGCCACAGCGCCACTTCCAGCTTTTTGCTTATGTGGTGCTGAGTAATCGAAGTCAGGGCCTCAGGCATGCAAGGCAAGCGCTCTGCCACTGAGCCACCTTCCCAGCCCTCACTGCAGTACATTCTGATCTATAGCTGGTGATCCTACCTTGGCCTGCCAAGTAAAAGGATTATGGTCCAGAATGGTTGAGTAAAAATTACAAGGCTCAAGGAAATAAAGCATCAGGGAGGAATATAGAGGGAAGCAAATAGGAACTGTTTAATGATGGCTCACACCTGTAATCTTAACCACTCAGGAAGCAGATCCAAGGATTGAGGTCCAGAGTTAGCCCTAACAGGAAGTACAGAAGATTCTTCAGTTAACCAGGAAGAAGCTCTAAGTGGAGCTTGTGGCTCAAGTGGTAGCATGCTATTGAGCTAAGGCCAAGGCATAGTGCCTAGGCTCCGAGTTCAAGCCACAAGTTAAGATTTTTGGGAATGAATTTACAGAAAAGTAAACCTAGGTTGCAACATTAACAAAATGCATGCATCTGCTCTTGTGTCTACACAATAGAGAACCAATATAACTGGCATTTATAAACAAAATGGAAGTATTTGGGGTTTGGGCTATTAAAGGAAAACAGGCTATCAAAGTTCTTTTGATAAGTGTTTTTAAAACTTGCCTAAGTTTCATTGCAGATAAGCAGCTCAAGGGGTTTTTTTGCTTTCCCATGGAATTTAACCCAATGGCAACTTGGACTGTAATTTAAATCTGAACTGATGGACTCCGTCCCCAACAACATTGGGTGATGAAATTCAGTCAGTAGAGTGAAGATACCTAGTTAGAAATTTCAGTTCTGCAAAAGATACTTTAACTTTAAGGGTTCTTACACAGCCTCATACATTTATGGGGAGGTGGGAGTACAAAAGGGACAAGGGTTTAAGGGGAGAAAGGCAAAAGAATGGGAAGGTAATTAAAAACAGTCTGGGAATGTTTGGCCTAGGGAAGAGCCTACAAAAGAGCAACGGGATAAGGACAGGGGCTAGCAGGAAGGAGACCCTCCAGTAGCCACCCAGCTCCCACTATTTAACCCTAACCCAAGACCAAGCTATGGAACAAGGAAGATGAGAGGAGGCATGACAGAAGTGAGATAAACTCATTTTCCACATGGCATGTGTATGTCACGTGCACTCTGTTGTATTTATCTTCTAATAAAATAACGTTTTTCAAATCACGTTTACTTGTCTTACCTGAATTATTTTGCTAAACACGGACCTAAAAATTGTGGGGTTGGGGATTTAGCTCAGTGGAAGAACACTTGACTGGCAAGTACAAGGTCCTGAGTTCAATCTTCAGTTCCAGGAGGAGAGAAAATGTCTGACTGTTCTAAACTGTAGTAACATATTTGGTGCACTGGCCAGGAAGTTTTTCTGACTTGGATGGGCTGTTCTGGGACTTTTTGCTCTGGTCCACTGTTGCTAATCTAACACAATTCTTGGAATATAGTGTTTCATAAATTTTGGGAGGACGAAATAAAAGCTCTAGTTTCTCTTACCTCCATTTTTGAAATGCATCTAGCAAGTCTATTTCATCCTTTTTCAGAGTCTAAGCTCAGAATGTAAACACTGCACACCTTAGGCTACTACCACTTGTTTGACCTGTTACGTGTTGGGAAAATGGAGGGGAGCGAACAGCCAGAGGCACAGACCTTCCCGCGGGTTTGGAGGTTGTACCCCTCGCTGTTTCCCAGCATGAGGGGAGAGGAAAACAGCCAGGAGTAACTGGGTCCCCTCCACCGTCTCCTGGCCTTTACCTACTCTTTCCGAGGCCTTTCTCCATCAGGAGCGCAGAGCCCTTCGAGCTTACTTTGCCCTAAACGACCTCTTGGCCTTTGTAAGGCGCATGGCTCGTGACTTGAGGTGTTTATTATTGGCCCCCTTGGTCAGCCCAGAAAAGGCCTTTTCTCTCCCCACACCTGTCCCTTGGCTCAGTCTCCAGGCAGGACGCCCAGCTGTTCGACTCCACCCACCACCTAAAAGCCTTCCGGATAAGGTAACCAGCCAGTCAAGGGAGGAGGCGCCCCGGGACTCCAGGAGTCCCTCCCTCCCTGTCTGAGGTTCCCAGAGACGCCAGCAGTCAGTCTCTCTCTCTTTGTCTCTCCCTATTTGTCTGTCTCCCTCTTTCTCCCTTTCTGGTCCCCTGACACCCTTTAATTTGGACCTTTGGGGACGCCCTCTCCTAATTATTGGGATCCATCCGTCCACCTTCCCAAAGCATCAGGGTCGCCTGGAGTAGCGGGACGCTCCGTGGTCCTACCAAATTTTCCAAGTTGTGTCCCAGAGACACCCCCATTGCCATGCCTGCGGGCTAATCTTAACACTCTGGGCTGACTGATTTACAGAGAAGAAAAAAAACCTGACTAAGGGGAAAAACAAAGGAGGAGGCAACAAAGCTTGATAAGAAATGTGCTCATTACCTTGCTTGTGTAACTGTAACCCCTCTGTACGGTATTTTCACAATTTAAAAACATTTTTAAAAAACCGGACTAGTTTGTCTACCAAAATCTGGCCTCAGCCACGGCCACCTTTGGCCTAAATTCAGAACCTTCACTTTTACTGGTTTGAACAATAATCCAACGAAACGGTAAGGGGTCCGCGGTACCCCACACCTAAGTCCTCTGACCTGCACTCCAGAGGCTCCCTCTGTCTCCTACCTTGCTCATCAAGACCTCTGCTGTAAGCCTCCCAACCATCTCCTCTAGAAAAGTAACTGCTTATCTTGTTGCTCAATCTCTCCTCCCTCCCTTTCTCTTTTTTTTTTTTTTTTGATAACCTGGGACCAAAGATCCTTTTATTCTTTGCTCTTCTAAATGCACTCTTGTCATCTGTAGTTGGTCCAGAATCTCTGCTAAAACG